CAGAGCAGGGGTACAGGCAGTGACACAGGTCATGGGGAGGGGGCTGAGCCTGCTGTCCCCATCCCCCCAGAGTGACTGCCTTGGCCCCAGCGAACCCATCCAAAATTAAACCCCAGCATTTTTAATTCCTCATTTCTCTCACACCCTTTTCTTTTTTTCCCTTTTTGGCTTGCAGGCAGAACTTCCACAGCCGAGCTGCAGCCAAGCTGCACGTGTTCCTACCCCAAACAAACACAGGACTGGCCTACAAGGCTCAGACCAGAGCAATTACTAAAAATAATTAAAAAAAATCCAACCAGCCCAACCCAACCCTTGGCAAGCCAAAGAAAACCCGAGGGACGAGGCTCTCACACCCTCCCCTTGTGCAGAGATGCTTCTCCCCCCGTGTGGGTCAGTCCCTTGCCCACCCACACCCACTGCCCAGGGGCAAACGCAGCCCCTCTCCGGGGCAAGGGGAGGTCGGGGGTTCCCCCTTGGTGTGCCGGGGGGCTCACGGTGCTGGTGCCCCTCGGCTATCCCTTCCATGGGCAGCGCTCCCTCCCATCACGCTGCTGGGATTTGCTGAGCATAATGGGGCTGAAACAGCTCAGAGCTGTTGGGCTAAATATATCGTCGTTGCTGGGGAAATAAATAATAAACAGCGGCTCGATTAGGATCTGGTGGTGTAATTGGTTCTGCTCCGGGTGGCTGGAGGGCAGCCCCGGCGCTCGGAGCAGCAGCACTTCAGGTACCAACACAGCAACAGTTAATGAACAAAAGACCCAACCAACCCCAAATTAAAAAAAACCGAACAAACAAAAAAAAGAAACACCCCCCCAAAAAAAAAACCAAACCAAAAACAAACAAAAAACCACAAACAAACAAAAAAAAACCCAAACCAACAAAACCCAAACCCCCACACACGCAAAAGCCCAAAACAATTCCCCCCCCCGAAAAAAACCCCCAAACAACAAAAACCCCTAGAGGCAGAAGCAGCACGTGCATCTCCCAGACCCAGAAATATTTACTATAGGTAATGGCTGCAGCAAAATTAATAAGCTTTAGAAAGCAACATAACATCTCCGGGACCTATGGGAGCGGGACGGGGAAGGCAGCTGTACATCAGGCAGACGGGGCTCGAGGAGCAGCTCCAGGGCCAAGCAGGAGCAGCCAAGCCCCCGTCTCGCAGTGCCCCCGGTGCCCCCCAGCCCTGCACAGGAACCGGATCCCGGTGGAAGTGTCACCGTCCGGCTCAGCTGGGTGAGGAGGACACGGCAGACACTCCCTGCTCAGCCCAGCGCTGGCTGCCGTCCAGGCCGGTAGCTCTCCCTCAGGAGTCATTGTAGGTAAACAGCATTAGAATGAGCTTGTTTGCACAAGAGCTGCTCCGGCAGCGGCTGGAAGGACGAGTTACAACCAAACCCACAACCCGCAGCTGCCGCAGCAGCAGAGCATCCCGGCCGGATGGGCTGCGGGGCCATGGAATGTCACCGGCACAGCCCCGACCCCTCAGCTGGCCGTGGGCACCTCCCGCTGCGGCAGGGCCGGGCACAGCAGCACTTCCCAGTGCAGCCTTGGGAAAAGATCCTCACTGGCTGCTGGAGCAGCGGGAACCAGCCCAGGCAGCCCACGGTGCCATCGGCTGGAAAGGAGAACTTACCTTTAGGTGTGTTTGTGGAAAGGGGCTTTGGACAAGGGCATGGAGTCACAGGACAAGGGAGAATGGCATCCCACTGACAGAGTAGGGTTAGGTTGGATATTGGGAAGAAATTCTTCCCTGTGTGGCGAGGCTCTGGCACAGGTTTCCCAGAGAAGCTGTGGCTGCCCCATCCCTAGAAGTGTTCAAGGCCAGGTTGGACAGGGCTTGGAGCAACCTGGTCTAGAGGAAGGCGTCCCTGCCCATGGCAGGGGGTGGCATAAGATGGTCTTTGAGGCCCCTTCCAGCCCCCTGTGCCAGGGAGATGCTTTCATCGAGGGTTTCTTCACTCCTACATTGTGGCCCTTCTGGGGCTCATTCCCAGAGCCTCTCTCACCACCCATCACTCCTCCACCACTCTTCACTCACAGGTGGTTGTGAAGGAAAGTTCTGACCAATCTGCAGATATTTAATTATCTGATTGCCCCAGGTAACAGCTGGACCCAGCACAGGGCAGGGAGGGGGGAGCAGCAGGCAGGAGGCAATGAGGGCTGCGGGGTCTCCCAGAGAGATGGACCCACAGCAGCAGGGACACAGAAATCTCCCTGTGGAGATGGGTTTGTTCAAACTCCACCTCGCTCCCACCTCCAGACCTTGTTCTGCCATCCCCTCCTAATCCAAGCCCACGGCTGGTCTCCAGGACACCCGGCTGATGCAGACTTTTCCCCCTTCCTGCATGCGTCAGTGAGTTTAGAGCCCAGGTGTGATTTTTCTAGACCCTTTTGTCTGAGGTTTAGAAGCAGAATAAGCTTCATTAGCAGGAGGGAGGATTTACAATAAGTAATAGGTAGGTGCTACCTTGTGAGCCGTCAGCATTGTGCTAAATTACCAGCTGCTTTGCCGAGCTCATCTGCAAACAATCAGTTCCTCACCCAGAGAATAGAGCCTTAAACAGCTATTTCTTAAAAAAACCCCTTTGCTTTTAATCTTTATTTCCCAAAAGCTAAAATTTTGAATTAGCCCACATGTACAAACTATAATTGCTTTGAGGTTTATGGTTCATTAGAATAATTAAAATACCACACGCTCGCTGATAAAATACCATGTCCCTCCACCACCAGGCTCTGGGTTTGTGCAGGTAAAGTCTTCCCTTGGCTACAGACCCACCTGATCCCTCGATGTGCTGAACTGCTGTCAGTGAACCAGGGGGTTTGGATGCTTTTTTTGGAACCCCAGTCCAACTGCAACCCAATCCAATCCAAACAACCCAGTCCAACCATAAGCCAACACCAAACCCAATTCAACTCAACCTAATCCCAACCCAAACCCAACCACGACCCAACAAATCCAGCCCAACCCAATTAATCCAACCACAATCCAACCCAACCTAATCCCAACCCAAATCGAGCCCAATCCAAGTGCAACCCAACACCCAAAACGAATCCAAGTAAAATCCAACCCAAATCCAATGCAAACCCAACCCAACACAATCCCAAACCCAACCTGATCCAACCCACCCCACCCAAAGCGCCCAGCAGGGCACTGGGAGGTGTGACAGGAACAGTGGCAGTAGTCTGGGCGCTCTCAAACCATCTGAGTTGCTTCACTTGCTGATTCAAAAGTCCTGAAAATCAGTAAAGAGACAAGGGGAGCCTGACCACAGAAACACCACATGTGTCAGTGGCCACTGGGACACTGGGACCAAGGCTGGACCATGGTGGCCTGGCCATGGCCAACTTGTGAGACTTGTGTCCTTGACCTGAAACATGGCAGGGCTGCACTGTGAGACTTGTCCAATGTCAGTTCCAACAGATATTATTGCACCATCTCTTTTTTTTTTTGGTTTAATGCCCAAAATGACAGGCCAGGGACCATGAGAGAGGCTCTGCCTATGGGCAATGCCACCACCCAGCTTTCATATCACTTTGACTGATGACTTTAATATTAAGCATCAAATGCCCTGTCAGGCTGGTTTAAAAAAGTATTTCCTATCTTTAATTTGTCTTGGAATAAACTGATGTTTACGACACTATTAAAGCTGGCCCAAAAAGGGAACATTTAGTAAGCGTTCCAGCCAAATTTTTCTTTTTGGAAAGTTTTAATTAAAAAAAATATTCCACTGGCTCTCCTGTAAGAGCAATAACTTAGGCTTGATTTCCCTTTCCTCCAGGAGACGTCTTGTAAATATGTCTGCATGGGACTTTTGTTCCCAGAAACCCTCTAGGTAGCACATCCAAAAGCTCCCATGTGCCTCGGAAAAGGAACTTACTCCCGTCTCAGAGTAACGGGAGCATCTGAGGAGCCAAAGGGGGACACTGCATGGAAAGGTTTTGTGGGGACACGGCTGGCAACAGCCTCCTGGCACCGGGTGGGCTGTGCTGGTGCTCACACAGCATCGCTAAACAGGCCCTTAAATACCATGTCCCTAAATAATGCCTTTTGGAGTGGTTTTGGCGTGTTTGCAATTCCCATTCATCCACAGCATTCTCTGCTCTGGCAGCATCCCGCGAAGGCAGGAGTGATGATGGAGGAGCAGCTCTGGATGGGACAGTCCCAAACAAAAGCAAAGAGTGGTGACAGGAAATATTAAGTATTTTAAAAAAATCCTTTCCATTAGTCCTTCCCATCCCTCTCCTAACCCTCTGGGAAGGTGTTTTGTTACACCTGCCCCAGGCAGGGCCAGTGCCAGCTCCAAGCAGCCCCAAGGTCCCAGCACCAGCCGCAGCCATGGAGTGATGCCGAGGCAGGATAAAGCCAGACCTCATCTTATGCCAGGGCTGGATAAAGCCCAGCCCCATCTGATGCCAGGACTGGATAAAGACTGGCCCCATCCTCAGCTTCAGGAAAACCAAGAAACAGCACAAATGTTGACTATTAAATCCAAGGATGGACATGAACCAGCAATGTGCCACTGAAACACTGAAACACTACAAACCTCTCACCCTCTTCTTCCAACACCTCAGAGCAGAGACCACCAGGCAGGTGGGGAACTTCACCCCTGCTGAAATAACACCAGGCAGGTGAGGAGCCCAGAGCATCTCTCAAGGCACTGGGGTGTTATGGAGAGGGTGTGATCCCCTGGGAACAATCTGTGCTGCCTGCCCCGGAAAGCAGAAAAAAAATGATTGACTTTTTCCTCTTTTTTTTTTTTCCCCAAGACAAAAGCCCAGGAAGTTTAATTACTGTGGAAGAAACGTGAACAAGGCTGAAATTTCAGCTCCCTCTTCTCTCAGTGACACCACAGAGCAAACGAAGCAGCAGCCCAAGGCTGGGGTAGCTGGGGGATCCGGGTGTTTGGGAGCGTCTCTGTGACCGGTTTCAAATGTCCTTCACTTCTCTCATTACAGCTCTTCTAAAAATATCAAATATAGATCTTTCCCTCATAATATTTTAAGATACTCTATTTATACATTAATTCTTTCAAAAATAAAAAGTGACACATACAGCAATTCAGTCACTCAGAGTCTTAAAAATTATTACAAAAAGCCACGACATCCATCCCCAGGGCAGTGGCAGCGGCGCTTTGGTGCAGGACTCACCACGGCGGGCTGGGGGTTCTTTTGAGACTTTCTTTTATAAAATATAATAATTCAAGCTCTCAATATCCTGGCTCTGCAGTCAAACAGGGCTCCTTCTTCCACCCTCCCCCGTATAAATGATCTGGAATGATGAGGGACTTGCACACTCGCTCTGCCGAGCCCTCACAGTGTGTCCACGGAGGCAGGAGCATCCTCTGAGGGCAGATGGAGCTGAAGGACTCGTCCTTTGCTCTCCACAGATCCCAGGTTGGCCACATCAACAGCAAATGCTCTGTGAGGATGGAAATAATTCACCTTGTACAAGCAGCACTGCACAGACTTGGCACGGACAGACAACACACCAGGCTGCAAGCAAGGAGATGCCTAAAAAACAGCACTGGAGAGTGGCAGACACAGCTTCAACACGGCACATCAGCGGCCTGGGCACTGGTGGGAGCATGGATGTGTCTGTGCAATGGGAATTAGGAAGTGGAGGTACCAAATAGCCAAAAAACAGGAGCAGGGTTTGTCTGGGGCTGCACTAGGAAGGCAGTGTGGGCTGCTCACCTCGCCCAGCACTGAGGTTTATCTCACAAAAATCAAAATCCTTAAAAAAAAAAAAAAAAAAGAGCTTGAGAGGTTTGGTCCAAAATATCCTTACTCTGCCATGCCAGCACCTGCTGAGCCCCACCAGCCCTGAGCCCCCACAGAGCCCACCCAGGGCTCACTCTCGCCTGCAAGACCCGGCACTGCGGTGGCACGAGGAGGGCGGTCGCCTCACCGGGGCTGCCCAAGTCACCACGGGGGCTGCCCAAGTCACCACAGGGGCTGCCCAAGTCACCACGGGGGCTCGGCCCCCTCAAAGCGCTGCTGCAGCCCCAGTCTGGGGTTTGGTGTCAGCCGAAAGCACCCCAACCCTTCCCCTGTCCCCAAGGTCAGGGTGCTCCCTGGCAGCATGGAGAGTGTCGCTCAGGCCAGCTGGAATGCAGGGAAGGATCTGGGAGCACAGGACTCGCTGTTGGTCGCTCCTCCTTGGCAGGAACACTGGTGAGTGGGAGTCCCCCAGCTCCCACTGATGCTCCATGCAGCCAGTGAACGGTCCTGCTGTGAGGAACATCCTGCTCAGGGGCTCTTGTGCCATTCACAGTCTGCAGGCTCGGCCCCTTGGAGCACTTGGTTGCAGTGTGGAGCTGTCCCTTTCCTGGTTTTCTCATCACTGGGATGCAGGCTTCGGGCATCTCTCCATCTCCCCAGGACTGCTCCCATGCAGCCCTGGAGGACAGGGAGGAGAGGAGCATGTCATGATCCACACAAACATCCATCCAGCGGGCACAGCGATGTCCTCACCCCACGTCACACAGGGGCCTGCAGGACTCTGCCATGGATACCATGGAACACTCAGCAGTGGCGCTGCACAAACCCACAGTTATAGGAACTCCACATAGTTCTCGGGGATCAATCCTGTCTTGCCGTTGAGGGTCCCTTCCAGCCAGCCAGGCTCCTGGGATGGGTGAACTGTGGAGAGAAGGAAAGGGCAGGTCACTACAGGAGGGGACGGGGGCTGCTGCTCCTTGTGTGCTGACCACATCAAAGCTGCTCTTGGAAGAGAGTGAGACCTTTAATTTGTGTTTATTTTTAAGAAAGGAAAACTAACAGAGTTAAAAATGAGCTTTGGGGTCCCTTCCAACCCAAACCATTCGATGATTCTGTGAACACACCAAGGGGCTCAGACAGCTGAAGTGCTCTGTCTGTGCCTGCTCTCCCGGGGGACTCCTCGGCCTTTCCTTCCCCAAGTGAATCCCACCACACGACCAAGTGAGCCGCACACTCAGCTGCAGATGGTGTGTCCACATACTATCTGGAGCTGCTGGGCTGAGGGAAGTGAAGCATTTGGGATAAAAACAGGGGTTCAAAACTTTCTCCAGATTTGGGCTAAAATCTCTCTGAGGTTGGAGAGCATGGTCACATCGTAACCCTGCACATCCCGGCTCGGCCTTGGCCCAGTCTGGGAGGGAAACTGCATTAGCGAATGCTCCCGGCGGGAAAGCAAACCCTGCAATCTGATTGTGTGCAACCAGAAACCTCATCAGTCCTCAAAAGCCTTTCTTTATTCAATCAACTCCTGCAAATTTGCTGATTTTGCAAGAGCCAGGCCAGGGTTACACTGATGCAGTGTTTCGGGGCTGCCCCAGCCTCCCATGACTCTGCAGGTCTGACTGTTCATGCCATGTCTGGAACCAACCTGGACAAGACACGAGTTTAACCAGAGCTCTCAAATGTGCCATTATTGACCATGTGGGTGTTGCTCACTGTGGGCAGCAGTACCCCAGTATCCCCATTGGATTAAGCTGCTGCTTGGTCACAAAGCTTAAAGTCCAACCGGTACCTGTCTGCATGTATTTCTGAGATCTGTTTGCCTTTGCTGGGGTTTGTAAAGCCCCTTGATCACAGCAAGACTCCCACCAAGCTGTGCTGGTTCTAACTCCAGCCAACATGAGCCCCGACTGCGCTGCTGAGTGACTGGAACACACTGTGTACTTTTTCCCTTGAATAATCCATTGATTTTTATCAGCAAACATAATGTATTTAATTCAAACTTGTTCCCCTCCTAATTCCCCTCCGAGCTGCTCTGATTCCCACGGGCTCTCAAAGGGGAGACCATGTTTATTTATTAGATGACTATGGAGCTGCTTAGATGAGGGGTTGTCTTTAATTCACATGGACTCATTATCTTCCCCTTTCTGCTGTATTCTCCTCTATATCCCAGGGCAAAACCAGTGTCTGTGGTAGCAGCTTCCCAAATGACAATGCATAACACATAAAAGCCAAGAACTACTTGGAAAGTAGTAAAAAATCTTTTCTTTACACTGGGATTATAACTAAGCCAGAGCTGCTCAGTTCCATGGGGCACAGCTACTTGGTGCAGGAAACAGAAAAATCTGTGTTCATTAATGTTGTCTTTCACTAAGCAAAGCCCACCTATTCCAGTGCTCAGTATCCAGAGGGACAAAGCACATGATACTTTTCCATCTTCTGCATGAAACATGACAGCAACTGCACAGAATATTTCTGGTGCTGGTACGTGGAATCTAATCTCTTCTACCCAGAAGCCCTCCAGGAATGGCTCAGAAGAGGGGTCTGTACCCATGGGAGGGACCTGGCACGGTCACACAGCCTTGCTCTGCTGGTGGCACCGGGCACAGCTCTCGCCATCCTGCTTTCCCAACACTCCAGGAACAACATCCTAAATATTGCACTGAAAAATGAGCCCATGTACCCCCAGGACTCACCATTGTCGAACACGGTGCCAGCCGTGAAGGAGAGCTCCGAGTCGTGCTCGGCTTTGCAGGCGTAGAGCGCGCGGGCTTTGCGCAGTGGGGAGCTGCAAAGAGAGGGCAGAGGTTGGTACAAAACCACCCAGACAGACCAGCACCCCCTGCTGTGCCCAGGGGCGGCCACCTGCTTGTTGAAGAGGGGTCCAAAGGCCTCTGCTGCTCTGAGGGTCCACGGCTACACTGCTTGGGGGAAGCATGAAGAAGACACCAGATGAGGCTGAAGGTTCTTGGGGATGAGCCACATTTCACCACAAGGTAAATCCCAATCTGACCCCAGCTGGCACCACGAGGACTAGAGCCCAGACTGGTGCCCACACAGCAGCAGCCCAAGCCAAGGTCCCCAGGAGAACTCCAGGCACTGGGCTGGAGCTGGAATGTTCTGTGAGTCTCTGAGGGGCCATCACCAACCAGAGGTTGGTACAGAGCAAAGGTGTCACCAGCCCTGCTCTGCCAAACCCATCACTCCCGGGTGCAGCTGCAACCACAAGATTTCTCAAAGAAAAATCAGCACTGGGGGAAAGGTATTTCAAAACAGAAAACCAAGCAGGTCCATGAAGAATTTGCTGCACTTCTTTAGAGACTGTACCTGAAGGTAAAAAAGATTTAACAGCCATTAGATTTTGCTGGAAGTGTCAGCGTGCCCACGCTGCGGGGGAGGGAACCAGAGTGCAGAGAGCCAGGAATGGAGCGATCCACTGACAGAGCAGGGAAAATGAGGGACCTCACGGTCCCCCCAGCAAAGTGCAGGCATACAAAGCTGTCCCCACACATGGAGCCTCATGGCTTTGGGCTGGAGCAAGGCTGGTGCAAAGCTGGGACACTGCCACGCTACAGTGACGGTGGTGGTGACAGTGCCAACCTGCCCAGGCACTGGGCCACCCCACCAGCCAGCTCCATCCAGCACTCTGCAGGCTGCTCGGCTGGGACACGGCCAAGAGAAGTGATGGAAGTGCCCCTGGGAGCTGCTGGGGTGGGGAACAAGGCGTCACCATTCTCAGGTCAGTGCTTTCACCAGCTTTTATCTTTCCAAGGACTTGAACTTCCTCAGAGTTCCCTCTGAGCAAGCCCAGGGATTCGGCAGTGCTTTGTGGCAAAACCAGTTCCCTTTCACAGCAAACCCCAAACCAGGGGAGCTGTGAATGGTTTTGGCTTTGCAGTGAAGAGAGCCCTGAAATGAAGGTCTCTCCTCTCAAAATTCCAGTTGCCTGACACAAGCAGCTCCCAAACACTTAAAACCCAGGATGGGCAAACAGTCCTCCCACTCCAGAGGGTCCTTCACTGCTGGGGAGGCACCACTCACGTGGAGTGCTTAAGAGACCATCAGATGAAAAACAAAAGGTATTTTCAGGCTTACTACCTTGAATTACTCAAGTTGTTGGTTTTCTCCCCAAAAACCAACCCTTGCAGCCTGGTGTCCCTGGGCCCAACCTGCCCCTTGCCCACTGGTTGCTCTCTCTCGCTGCCACTGTGCCCAGCCAAGCCCTGTGGGGCTTTTGGGGACCCTGATGGTTGTTCTCGTTCAGTTCCTGCCTCCAGGCATGGTCCAAGGCCAGCATGGCACTCCAGAGCATCACCCATCTGCCCTTCTGTGGGCACCTGGAGGATGCTGAGCCTGTCCCTGAGGAGGAAGGCTGCTCGCAGGGCATCACGCACTGGCAGCCTCCACGGATGTGCAGCAGAACAAATCAACGCCCTGCCAAGGGGCAGCAGCATTTGTGTGGCTGCAGGTGTGGGGGAAGAGCTTGGCCTGTGCCTGGCACCACCAAAGAGGTTTGACACATCTCCCAAGTGCAGGGATTGGTGCCCCAGCTCTGCACCTGCCAAGGACTGGGAGCCACGATCCGCCAGGAATGGCAACAGCCTCTTGCTCCACTGTGCCAGGGTGGGCTCAGACAGGAGGAACTCCATTGGAGGGCACCCAGCACATGGCCCAGCAGTGACACTGAGTGTCTGCTGGGACCTGCAGTGCAGGCCCTGTGTCCACAATGTGGCACAATGGCACTGCAGCACCCGTTCCAGCTCCTGGCACCCCGGGGGGACCTCACAGGGCTGGCACACAGCACAGCCTGACCCACTGTTCCAGGGGCCACTGGGAATCCTCCATTGGTCCATCTGCAACTTCCAGGACCAATTTGCTCCAGAGATGCCCAAGAGCACAGACATGGGCACAGAGCAGCAAACACCTGCGCTGCCCCATGTCCTTCACCCTCCTCAGATCCCAGATGAAGCAGAGGCCAGAAAATGGGGGATGACTGTGCTTTTCAAAGGCACTTTACTCCTTGTAGTACACTTCTTACCTGTTGCAGAGCAGAGTAAAGCCAACTCAGGAGCTGAAGTGGCCAGAGAAAACCACCAAGACCAGCAGCGACACCGGGCACTGCGGCCACGACCTTGTGAGCACCAGCTCCTGCTCGCCTGGGCAGGAGATTCCCAGAGGCCCAGGGGGGTTCAAAGACTCTCTCCTGGGGCAGAAGGGTTTGAAAGCTCCTCTCTTGCTGAGTGCAGACAGCTGTGTTGCAGGGGTTTGAGCAGGATGCAAAGGGAAAGGGAAGTGAAGTGGGAGAAACTGGGGAAATTAAACAGAAATAGCAAAAGCAACAAAAAGCAAAGCGAATTGTGCAACAGACCTGATGGGGGATGAGTCGCTGGACGTAGAGGAGGTGGGCATAGGACTTGATGGCGCGGAGAACATGGGCCAGGACGGTGAGAGGGGTGACGTTGGGCTTGGATTCTGAGGGCTGCAAGACATAACCAGAGACCTTATCAATGTGCAACCACAGCAACAAACAGCAACCGAGAGACAGTGAGACGACAGCCGACGATAGCAAGTGCCTTGGGAATATTCAGAGCATGAGACACAGCTACGAAATGAAGTGCCAAGACCTTGGGAAGTGTTTCAAGGCCGGATCTGCATTTCTGTGGACAACAAGAGCTGGATCTTCCAATTAACCCCTGATCCATCGTCCCCTCTGCCAAGGAGGGGTCTCACTGCTGGCAAGCCAGCCACTTACCTGCCTTGTATTTCCCCCAGTGCTGCCAGAAATAGCTGCTGGTAGTTCTGGACATTAATGATGCCTGTGACCAGCCTCCACCCCCTCTGTATGTCACTTGTTGCAGTGCTCATGCAGTTGGTGCTATAAAACTGTCATTGATTATGTTTTCCACGTTTTACATCGCAGAACTCTTTTTTTTTTCCCCCTCACGCAAACAGCTCTTCACTTTCAAGACACAGCTGTCAACTGAAGCTGAATCAATTTACTGAACTGGTAAATGCATGCAGAAGTGTTTGGTTCCTTCAAAACTGTTCGATTCAGGTCATTCTCTGGTTCGCTGAAAAGCAATTATTGTACTAAAATACCAATTTGACTCTGATTCATCTACTGTTTCTATGTTTAGGAACTCATTGGTATTCCCTGTCCAATTCAGATTATAAACTCTATCCCTGATAAAACAACAGAAAATCCTCTCCCCACTGCAAATGCTTCTGTAAAAGTGAGAAGTTTTGTAAAAGCATCATGGTTTATGTTTTTTCCCTTGCGAGAGGGACAGTACCTCTGATCACACAGGTCTGTGATGAGGTGGGCACAACCCACCAGCAACCCCCAGGATGTCCTCATCCCTGTCCCTGAGCTGGGGCCTCCCAGGGGAGAGGGAAGGGATACAGAACATGTGGGAGAACCTCAGCCCTGCTGGAGCAGTTCAGACCAACAATTTAACCTTCTGTAGTGTCCTCTGGCTGCCACCGCACAGGGATATTCATGACATGGACACTTTCCCCCTGGAAATTGGACCACCCCTGCTTAAGGCCAAACTCTTGGCTTTATTCCTCATAGGAGCTGTGTCACTGGATTCAACAGACATTGATGAATTACAGGCAACACCTTTATTATGTCAGAGGATTATATGAGTATAGAAATGGGATACGACAGTGCAGCACCAGAGGCTGGAAAACAGGGAATGCTCACAGACAGGCTACAACCAGAGATCCTCAAAATGTTCTGCTAATAATAATCGTTATTTAAGAACAATTTTTTTGCATTTTTTATCAATAAAACTGTCTGTCATTTGAAAAATGACCTGTTTGCCTTGGTCTTTAGCGAACCTGACAGCCATTGGTACTTACCAGATACTCGACCTACTGCCACCTCCAAAGGTGCTACCAAGACCACCAAGTCATCCCAAATTGCCAAAATTAACCCTTCAAGCACCAGTTCTTGTGAACAGATGGCACAATAATTCCCTTCTCCAAGAGAAGCCTGGCCAAGGTGGAACTTGGAGGGGCAATGAGCTGGAGACCAAAATGTGGCTGGGCCTGACCCACTGAGAGTGGCCACCAACACCTACCAGCCCTCTTGCCACTGCACCCACCGTGGCTCCAGGCAGAGGGCTTGGGGTGCAAGAGGACATCTCACTGGGTGTGTCAGTGTGGGATGGGGCACCGTGACATCCCACGGGGTGCACCAACGATGGGACAGCCACCACCTCCGCCACTGACCTTGGTTGTCCTCACTGCACGACAGAAGGAAAATCCAACTGTACAGGGCTCTGGGACTAGAAATTCCCAATGCACTTTCTGAGATGAAATCATATCAAAAGAATGCAGCTCTCACTTCCCCTAAAGTCGCTCTGTCATCGCTCCACAACTGCGCACCCGCTACACTAATGGCAGTGGGGAATGCAATCAGCAGGACTCTAGATGTCTCTGCAGTGGTGGGTAAAAAAGCTCGACTGCAAGCACTGGCACTCAGGCCAGCCTCTCCCTAAGAAGTTATCAATAATTTGGAGTAGGATTTTGGTGTCTTTGGATCCTTGGTGGCAAAGAAAACACTCTCCACGCCCACCAAACCAGCAGAGAGAACTGTTAACTAATTGGTGTGCAGACCACTCTGTTCCCATCAGGTTGCTCACAGAAGAGATGAACATGGTCTTACAATGGCCGAGCTGCTCCTGTGCAGCTCTGCAAGTCCGTCCAGCACATTTCCTCAAGAAGAACCCATGGATACCTCAGGACCCACCTGAGCTGCAGCCCAGCACTTACAGACCTCAGCGTATGATGCACACAAAGAGTTCATCTCCCTTCCATGAAATACAGGTATTTATTTTCAAGATGCTGCTTGAATATCACCTTTCCGAGCTTATCTAAGTGCAAGACCCGAGTCCTGTCTCATTGGAGATGTCAGTGCATGCGATCAAACGGACTATCCCAGCATCTCTGGCATTTTGGAAAACAGTTTTTTGTAGGATCCAATTTCCTTTGTTTCTCATGAAAAGAGCAGAGGTGGTGAGAGGCTGGGGGGAAGTGCTGGCTGCTGCCTGCAGGCAGCAAATGTCACCTGGACCTTTTTTTTCTTTCTTCTTACTCGGGAGGGCTTTGCGAGGGGCTCTTCCTGTTGGGTGCACAGTGGAAACAAAACAGAGAAAATTGCTAAGAACCAAAACCACCAGAAGCAGCAAACAAAGAAGTGGCTCAAATTAAGAGTCTTCCAAGGTGGGAATGGACATTTCCTCAGCAGAAGCAGCCAAGGGAACTCCATGATTCTGTAGCCCAAGGCATCCCGAGGCTCTCGCCTTTCCTGCTGGTCCGTCTGTGCCCTCGGAAGCAGCGACTGAGACCCCGTGGGGAGGGACCTCTGCCAGGAACAGGCAGGGTGAGGAGGGTGTTGTGCCACAGCCTCTGCGGGGGCATCTGCACCTTCTACTGCATGTGGCAATCCCTCTGACAATCCCACTCTTCCAGCAAACAGTGTACTTAGAAATGAATTTAGGAGCTAAATCCTCCTCCCTGCTTCTCGTGCCTGCTGTACACACTGCCTTTCCCATGCAGATGTCTAATTTGCTGCCCAAACATGTTAAAAAAAGCAGTAACTCTTGCTTTAAAACTCTGCTGGAGTTGCTGGAGCTAAAAAATCTCTCTTCTAACCTGTTTTCATAACCTGCCTCTTTCATTCCTCTTCCTCTGCAATCCGCCCCGGCTGCCTCGCTTTCCTCACCCAGCTCAGGCCCTCCAGGCATGTGCAGCTCTGAAGGACTGTTCTCAGTGGGTTTCCAGACAACTTCTGCTGCTTTGTTCTCTGGGCTGAGAGGACATCGGTTCCACTTCAAACATGTTTACAACTTGTTGTTTATTTTTGTGGAACTTGGGGCTATTTCTGACACAGAACATCTCACAGCTATGGATGGGCAGAGCCCACTGAGGGATTAAAGCCCTTTCATGAAATCACCTCAAGAAAAACAACAATATTCCCTTTCTGACATGATCAGTACCTGACTGAAGCATAATACATCAAGGATCATCCAGCCCTTTACTCCCTGATCCATTCCTCTAGAACAAAGCTGCAGAACATAAGGTTCTTCTCAAAGATAACCAGAAAAAAGAAAATTACAGTTTTACGTAATGCCAGGGCACTTCAACTCTGCTGAAACAAGGACAAGACTGCAGGTCCCCAGCAGACATGGCTCTTTTGCCTGAATGAAATGGGATGCAGCCTTGGGTTGGGAAGCTCATGGAGCTCATGCAGTGCTGCAGATCCTAGCAAAGCTTGGAGTAGATGGATGGGCTCTAGGAAGCAGCTCCTGGGCACTGGCTGCACTGTGGGTCAGTGACACACCACCCCATACCTGACCACCAGCTCACAGGGCTCCAGACTGGCAGGGTTCTTCCTCTGTTTGGTACTTTAACACAAGAAAAATGATAAATTCTCTCCAGAGTTATTCTCTCGGGAGTTATCTTGCTGCATGGTCATTTGGGTGAAAACAATGACACATTTAGGGAAATAAGCAGCCAAAATGCCCTGTGGTCAGCATTGTTTGACCAAACTGGTCAAAAAAAAAGCTCAAATTCTTCAGCATGGACCTTCCCCACATCTCCATTTACCAGTTCCCCATTCCCATCTCCATCAACACAGATTACAGGATCTTCTTTCCAAGAGCACGGACGTGTCCCTCTGTAATCCTGGTGACACCCAGCACATGGGTGTGTCTTGTCACTTTGCTGCTTGGTTGAGTTCCCACATGTAGAAATATTTCCCTGTTTTAGTCATTTCATAAACCATCTAAAAGCTTTTCTACTGGAATAAGAGAGAGACCAGATGAGTTCTGACTTTGGGAAGGAGAGCTGGAGTTGTTGTCTCACTTAATAGACATTCCCATTTCCAAACGGAGCCGGATGGTGCTCAGTGGTGCAGAGGGATGTGATGACTGTGCTGGTTTGGTACAGAATTCTGGCACGGAGCTTACAGCCTGCTGTTAATGCTGGAGAAAGTGAGTGAATAAGCAATGGATGTGTTTTCAGCATGAGTAAGCGTTGGAGGCACTGCAGGAAGGAAGTTTGCAGGACCAGCGTGGTGTCAGCACAGGTGTCCTCCCCAGCAGGTGAGATCCAGGTGATGGGAGCATCGTGCCATCTTAACATGGAACAGTATTTCATTAATAGTCACAAAGTTCATTTATAACAGAGAATTACCAGCATCACCAGCAAGTTACCGGCCCACCAGTCACTGCTCTTATGTGGGACCAGCACTGAAGTGGGACAGGCAGGGCAGGGGAATGGAGGCAACCACAGATCCACACTAATGGGGCTTTGGGTCCTACCCAGCACCCAACCTAGACATGATAGAGAGCCATAGAATGGCCTGGGTTGGAAGAGATGTGAAAGATCATCCAGTTCCATCCCCCTCCTATAGGCAGGGACACCTTCCACCAGAACAGGTTGCTGCAAGCCCCATCCAACCTGGCCTTG